TTACCCGAAAAATGCCCAGAAATTCAAACCCACATAGCAGCCGGCGGACAGGGGAGAAGAGCAGAGCAGATCCGGGATTTTCTGGGTTGAGAGAGAGAATTCTAAGCCCCAAATCTTGTGACTTAATAAGAAAGGAAGAGAAATTCAAGCCTTTTTGTCGAATTTCTCAAGAGGAGTGCGTCAATGGCTAAGGGGGGGCTTGTCAAGTGCAAGGGAGAAGAAAGAAGAGCAGATGTGCGGATAAGGAAGAAGAAAAAGAAAGAACAACTCAGCCATCCTTATCCTAATTTCCTTTCTTTTTAGGTCCCCCAACTTTTGAAAATTTGACTATTAAGCCCCTCAATAATATTTTCCCTCAAATAAGTCCCTTATTTAATGCTAAAATATCCCCAAATTTTGGGGTATTACACGTTTTCTATTTTCTAAGTTTCCTTTAATTAAATCAAATGATGTCGACATTTAATTTCATGTTCAATTCTATTTCTGTTAATTTATATTTCATGCTGCTAGTAGATTTTCCTTGTTTTTGGTTTCATTTACTTTAACTTAATTTACTTTTGCTGTAATTAAATTTCCTTTTAAAGCTCTGTCTCAACCCAGTTTGCATTTTTAAAGTTCATTTAGATTTTCAGTAGTTTAGCAATCATTTATTTTCATTGTAGTCTTAACTTTTCTTGATTACATTAGCTTTGAGGAGTCATTGGAATCATATCCAAGGCATTTTGCCATATAACCCTAGGAAGTTCATCCCTCGTTTCTGCCAATCGTCTAATCTTTAAGGCACAATTTACGACGTTCTTCCATCAACTCACAAATTGAGTTCCATGCTTGCAAAGAAGAAAGGGTCATCGGAGAAATCTTTCTTGTTTTGAGCAAAGCGATTGGCACGCCATTTCATTTGCCACATGTCAAGGAGATTTTTTGGGATAACACAAATATATGTTCCCAAACACAACCTTAATTCTTTTGATGATGTGGCAATGACATGTCTTGTAATTTGGTTACATGGACAAATAAAAATGCTCATTAGATGAATATTTATATTTTTAATAAAAAGAAATAAAAAAATGAGAAAGTTACATTATTGTCCCTCTCCCTCTCATTCCATCTTCTTCCCCTCTTTCTTTCTCTTTTTTCCTCTTTCCTACTATTGGGTTTAGTGGAACAGAACCTAGCAATTGGATTTGGTGGAACTACCAAAGCTAAAAGATCTGGGTTTGGTGGATCTATTGGGTTCTGTCGAACCCAATTGTTGGGTTCAGTGGAATTGAGATCTGCTAGGTTTGATGGGTTCCATGAAACCCAACCATTCTAGGTTCGACAAAACGCAACCGTTGGGTTCAACAAAAGCTAGCTACTGGGTTCAGTGGAACCTAGATCTACTAGGTTCGATGAAACCTAGTTGTTGGGTTCCATTGAACCCAATAGATCTGGGTCGTCAAACTCAATTGCTTGGTTCCATTGAAGCCTCCCATTCTTTGTTTGTCAAGTTCACTAGGTTTTCTCATTCTTCTTTAGCTTTTCATTCCCAGTTCTTGATTTGCCTATTATATCTATTCTTTACAAGTTTTTTCAAAATTTGGGAGTTGATTTATGATTTGATTGCATTTATGTTGGAATTTGATTGAAGTTTGATTGACATTGTTTATTAAGGTGTTAATTTGATTTGATGAGATCTGCTAGGTTTGATGGAGCTCAGCAAAAGGGTTCAATGAAACCCAATAGTTGGGTTCAACAACCTAGCAATAAGGTTCCACCAAACCTAGTAGCTAGGTTTGGTGACCCAAATCTACTAAGTTTGATCAAACCTAGTAGCTGGGTTCAATAGAACATAAATTCTATTAGGTTCAACCTTAGTTAGAGCAAAGAGGGGAAAAAGATAGATTGAGAGAGAGACAAGGTAATAACATAACTTTATTGTTAACCTCAATGGGGTGGCTCAATAGTTAAGAGCTTGAGACTCCAAGTTGGAGATCTTAAGATCCTAAGTTTGAGCCTTGAGTCGGGTAAGGAGGGATTTAGAAATAAGGAAGGGCTATCCCATCTTATATATCCCATCTTGGATAACCCATAATTAGATGTATAAAAAAAGAACTTTATTATTTTTATTTCCTTTTATTAAAATATAAATGTTCATCTGATTTGTCATTTTTATTTGTTCACGTAAATTAATTACAAGACATGTCATTGCCACGTCATCAAAGGAATTGAAAGAAAATGGCATTATGGAATTATTTAACGGTCACGTCATAGTTAACTAATGGAAGGATCAAAATTTTGTGGCTTTTAAAATTGAGTGATTAAAAAAGTGTAAAAAATAGTTGAGGGATGAAAATTATACAATTCTATAAAGTTGAGGGACTAAAATTAGCATTTAGCCAAATTATAAGTATTCACTATTGCTTAAGAGCGAAAGGAAGGGAAAAAGTTGTTGACTACATGTGTAATATATGTTTGGTTTAAATTTGTTATTTATAGATTACGTGTGTGATTTCTTTTATTTTTATTTTTATATTTTATTATTTCTATTTTTAAAAATTATTGTTATTATATAAATATTACGTATAATACATATAACTAAAATTTCAATTATACAAATATATGTAACATATCAGTTAAATAAAACAGTTAAATAGGTTGGATAAATGGTTTTGGACCCTTATACTTATTACTTGACTCGATATTTGTGAATATACTATTTCAAACCTATTACTTACCTAATTTTTTTACAATTTAGATAAGATACTTACCCAAACAGATAAAAAACTTATAAATAACAAATGTACTCATACCCAATGCTCCCTTAGATGGTAGCAAAGAAATTCATCCAAAACCAAAAATAAAATCAATAGGAGAAAACCCCAAATTCATTCCAAAATCAAAATGGAAATCATTAGCATTAGAAATTTTGAAAAAAAAAAGGAGAGAGAGTTAAGGGGCATAAGAGAACATTGAGTGGAGAGTGATGGGAAACTAGAGTCTAAAGGGGCTTTTCATTTTTCAATCAGTAGACTAAAGCCCATTTCTAAAATTGGGTTTCAAGCCCGTTTTCAAATTCTTAGATACTTAATTTTTTCTTTAGAATTATTACATATATTATAAATTTATAATATTATGAGATATTATAACCATAATATTTTCATATACATTATAGGATTTGTCCTAAAATCGTCACCTATATCAAAATGAGAAAGATCAAAAACATTAAAAGTAGCACTAACATTATACTCACTAGGAAGCTCCAACTTGTATGCATTGTCGTTTGTCGGTTAAAGTATCATTTTGGTCCCTTAACTTTTCACTTTGGCACCAAAATTGTCCCTCAACTTTAAAAAGTACCAAATTTATCCTTAAACTTTCATTTTCGATACCAAAATGGTCTTTCTGCCAATTAAATGACAGGTGGCACGTTAACTTGCCAGCAAATCAATTCTATTTTTTGCTTAACTAATGACATGGAAAAAAAAAGTATAGTTGGCTATCTTTTTTATGAGTTGGCATTTTCATTTAATTTAAAAATAATAATTTCTTGTTTTTTTTCACCCACATCAGATTTCTTCTTCCTTTTTCACTTGCTCTCACCTTTACCTTTCCTTTTCCCTTACCTCTGCAAACCCAAATCTGGGTTCTCTCTCAAACTCCATCTTCTTTCTCCTTTCCTCCCTGCTCATCCTTCTTCTTTCTTCTTCTTATTCTTTCTCTCTCTCTCTCTCTTCTCCTTTATTCTTCCTCTTGTTGTACCTATGATTTTGATGACTACAATACCTATGATTTTGATGACTACAAAACACATTTGAGTGACTAATTGGTTTATTTAAGTGTGTAGTTAAGTTGCTAAAAGATTGCAAGTAAACTTGGATTGCACTAAAAATAGACCAAAAGGATTCAAAATGTGTAGAGAGCCAGCTCTTAAAAGCTGCAGCCGGTTCTGATGAAATGGAAGTGTAGAGAGCCGGCTCTGGAAGCTGCAGCTGGCTCTACGGGCAAAAATTTGAAGACCATTGTTTGGCGCGCGCGGAGAAAAGACGCAAAGTCGGCTCCAACTTTATAGTCGGCTGTGAGGGTGCATTTAATGCACAACGATCGACTCTTTTGAAGAATATTTAATGTATTTAAAATCGGAGTTCCAAAGCCGGCTCAATGTCTTGTAGCCGGCTCTCGAGGAAAACAGAATGTGCAGGAATCCCACAGAGCCGGCTGCAGAAATGGTGAGCTGGTTGTATAGAGCCGGCTCTAGGAAGTTAAACCGGCTCTCCTGACAGTTCTACAACTCGAGCCATGCGTCCTGCAGGGCATTTAATGACCCCCAACGGCTAGAAACGGCTATATTTGAGCAAGGGGCTATAAATATGGTTGGTAATAAATCTAAAGAAGTTTAAAGAGTATTGAATATCTTTACCTACCTACATGAGCTTTAACTTGAGTTTTTGATCATTGAGAGATCTTTACATGTGATCCTCTTCTTGTTCTATTTGTGAGTGATTTTGGGGGTGTGATTATTCCTTCAAGAGTGATCTATAGAGAGGATTCGCGGGGTTTACATTGTAAAGGGGTGAGGTTTGAGAGAAATACTCATCTTCTTGTAAAAGGATTGAGTGGCTCCTTTAAGCCACCCTTGTTGTTGTTAGTGGAGAGTGTGGAGGAAATCCTTGGTGAGTGAAGCCAAGGTAGAGGACTAGGCTCCAAGTGGTTGGACCGAACCTCTATAAATCATTGAGCAAGCTTTTCTTCTTTACTTTCTTTAATTTTGATTTTGTGGTTGCAAAAAGCAGAGATTTTTTGGAACTCCAATTCACCCCCCCTCTTGGAGTACATTGAGTCAACAATTGGTATCAGAGCAAGGGCTCCAATTTGAAGGTTTAACCACCTAGGAGTTGATCAAGGATGGCTCAATTTCAAGCTTCTCAACCACTTGAAGGTTTGTATACCACTAGGCCTCCTTTCTTTGATGGGACTAACTATAATTATTGGAAGAATAGGATGAAGGTCTTCATGCTTGCAAATGTGCCCAAGGCATGGATTATGACTGTAAAAGGTCCATATGTACCTATGAAAGTTGTTGGAGAAAGAAAGGTGCCAAAGGAAGAAGTTGAATGGAATGATGAAGACTTGGGGAAGATCATGATCAACAACAAAGCAATCAACATGCTTCAATGTGCTCTCAATCCAACGGAATTCCATAGAGTATCCGGATGTGATACGGCCAAGGAGATGTGGGACATGTTGGAGGTAACACATGAAGGAACAAGCCAAGTGAAGGAGTAAAAAATCAATAAACTCATTTAAATGTATGAGCTTTTCAAAATGAAACCGGAGGAGAGCATTCAAGATATGTATACAAGATTGAATGATATAGTCACCAATCTCAAGGCTCTTGGTAAAGTCTATCCTTCACAAGAAGTGGTGAGGAAAGTTCTTAGAAGCTTGCCTAAGAATTGGGAAGCCAAGAAGACCACAATTGAAGAGTCTAAGGATCTCAACACTCTCAAGCTTGAAGATCTCATTGGAAAATTGATGACATATGAGATAGAAGTTCAAGTTGATGGTGGAGTTGAAGTAGATGAGAAGAAGAAGAAGGATGTTGCATTCAAGGCTGGCAACCAAAAGGAAAAGAGTGAAGATGATGCTAGTGATGGTGAAAACATCTCCACCTTGATCTCTAGAGAAGTGAGGAGATTCATGAAGAAGAACATCAAGAGCAAGCTTGCAAAAAGAGATGAAGGAGAGTCTACCAAAAGGAGTGTGAAATGCTATGAGTGCAACAAGATGAGGCACTATAGAAATGAATGTCCCAATTTGAAGAAAGGCAAGAAAAGCATGAAGAAGAAAGCTTTTGCTGCCACTTGGAGTGATGATGAAACTAGCTCAACGGAAAGTGAAAGCTCCTTGGAGAATGGTGTTGCAAATCTTTGCTTCATGGCTCAAGAAGATAGCTACAATGATGAGGAGGTAAACTCTAACTTCTCTAGTTCAATTAATGAAAGTTCATTTAAGTATTCTTATGATGATTTATGAAAAGTTCTTGATTGCTCTATGAATGACATTAAGAAACTAGGAAATGACAATATTGCTCTTACTAAAACCATTTCATTGCTTAGGAATGAGATTGAATCTCTCTCAAAACAAAATGAGGTTTTAGTTAAAGAGAATGCCTCTTTAAATGGTGAGATTGCTTCTTTAAAGAATGAGGAGTCTAATAATACTTTGAAAAAGGAAAATGAGGATTTAAAGAAAGGAAATGAAGATTTAATGAAGGAAAATGAGGTTTTAAAGAGAAAAGCTTGTGATCTTGAAAATTTGATTTCCAAATTTACTTTGAGTAAAGAAAAATTTAATTCTATGTTAAAATCTCAAAGAAATGTTTATGACAAAGGGGGCATTGGATTTGATTATTCTAAAAAGCAAAAGACTTTTAAGACTACCTTTGTAAGAGCAAGTCAATCCTATCATCCTAATGTTACTTGCTATTGTTGTGGTGCAAATGTACACTTTGCTTTCGTATGTCCTTTGAAGAGATTGATAGCTCAAGGTAAAGTGAAGCAAATTTGGGTTCCAAAAGGAACTTTAAGTACTAACCCCCATGGACCCAAGCAAATTTGGGTACCAAAAATCAAAGCTTAATTTTGTTTTGTAAGAAAAGTTGATGGCAAAGTCATAAGGAAGGCAAAGTCATAAGGAAAGCAAAGTAGATCTTAAAAAGACTTATGCCTCAATAAGAATATTGGAGTGGAAGTGCAAAGGAAATTTGTTTTTGAATGCTCCACTCATGTGCTCAAATTGGTATTATTTATTTTATTGCATTTATTCATTGAGTATAATTACATTAGCATGACTATTAATTATTGGTTTATGTGTGCGCTCACTCCTTGATACATATGCTTGTTGAGTATGATTCCATTTGATGTATCTTTCCTAGTGCTTGATATGATTCTTGAAATTAATGAATATGCTTATTAGAAATTGTGCATATTGATATGTGTACCTTGATTATATTCATGATATTTGATGATGCATACATTGATATATGACTAAAGTTGCATTATTTAGTAGTGGATGTCCAATTTAAACTTAGTTAAATGCAGAAATAACAAATTAAGGTGCATTCCTTTCAAAACAGCCCCAAACTTTCTATTTGTTCCAATCAAGGCCAGTAGAGCCGGCTCATCCCTTTTCACAGCCAGCTCAACCAAAAACTGAGAGTATTCTCTCTCTACAGCACAGCCGGCTCAACCAAAAAAATCAAGAGTCTTCTCTCTCTAAACCACAACCGCCTCTAGGTTCACCAACCGACTCTGTAATTATAGCCGGCTCTCCTACAGAATTTTAAAGCTCGGGTTTTCTTTCTCCTCGCACAAACTAGCCAAATCTGTTTCATTTTCTCACCCAAACCCGCGACCTCTCCTCTCCCAAAACTCACCATTCACTCTCCCAAACACCAAAATCCCTCCAAATCTCCAAAGCCCATCCCTTAAACACTTAAATACCATCAAATCCTTGCCTACCCAACACAAAACTTCAAGCTTTTCACTTCAATTTGTGTGGGATCTGCTGTATTTTTGGTGTGGCTGTTGGGATTTCTCTCTCATGGCTTCAAGAAGGGCTGGAAGTAAAGGAAACAAGTGGGTAGTTCTAGCACCGGTGGTCAAGCTCAAGAAGAAGAAGGTAACATCTCCCAATCAAATCTTTTTTTGGATACCCAAGCCTCTGCACAATATGAAAGTATCAAGAATATGGTTGTTTTATCTTGCAATTGTGTAAAATTCAGTCAATTTCCTCAAGGAGATATACGTGTTGAACAAATGTTTAGGGAACTTGGGTGGAAGAATTTTATAGAAATTAAAGAGCCTGTGTACTATGAAGTTGTTCATCAATTTTATGCTAATCTGAAACCAAGAGGGAATAAATGCAAAACTATAGTTGCTGGGGTGTCATTTCAGTTTTCACCAAGGGATATTTGTGCTATATTAGATATACCTAAAAGATGAGATAATGAGTTTCTAGATGTGAATCATGCCTTAATTAGAGCCACAATTGCCCCCAATTGCATTGGAAATCAAATTAAAGTGGGGTCTCTTACACTAGAGAATAGAGCATTACAGTGGATTATATCTCGTATTATTGATCAAAGGAAGGGTTCTAAATCTTATGTTCTTGCCAGTGATCTTCCCTGGTTCGACTATCTTCTTAACGAAAAAAGGGTGAACCTAAGAGGATACATTTTCCGGAGCATAATCAAGCCTTACTCACCAACTACGGGACTTCCTCATGGTGCTTTAATTACCAGATTGGTGAAGAGGAACAATATTGATCTTACCTCCTTTAGGTTCGAAACGGTTCCTGGTGGGACTACACTTACCAAAGCTTTTTTTGCAAAAATGGACTGTTTGTTTAGAAATGGCATTTGGATAAAGAAAGGGGAACAAGAAGGTGATATAGATCAAGAAATGGCAGAACAAGGGGCAGAAGAACATGAAGATGACAGCCCAAGACCATTTCGAGTCTTCATGCAAAGAACTAACCGTGAAACCATGGAGTTAATGATATCTGAGATGCAGTAGCTGCACACCAACTTTTATGGTTTTCGGACAGAAATGAGAGGGAGAATGACTAACGTGGAAGGAAAGCTTGATCAGCTTGTTAATCATTTTTTTCCTCCACCCCCACCTGATGCCACCTAACTTGATATTTCTTTAGTTTGGCTAATCTTTAGGATGGACATCTTAGGGTTATGCATTTTATGTTTTATTTGACTATGGATATGTCTTAAACCTTTTTATCTTGTTTTATGAATGGAAATGGCATCACTTGTGTTATCATGCTTTGTGAATGGTTGTTTATGATTTTGATGATTATATGCTCTTATTGAAGGGGAGCATTTTGTGCTTAAATTGCTTTTCTTAATGGTTATCATGCTTAAATGCTTTAAAGATTGATGTGCATGAATTAAGGGGGAGTTTGTTGATTATGTGCTTTTTTATGAATGACAAAAAGGGGGAGAAGAATATGTTGAATTTAATGTCATTTTCTAGAGTATCTTTGTGCTGAGATTCTAGCTAATATTGAAGTATTTATGTGCTTTATCTTTGTGCTGAAATTTTGGGTAATATTGAAGTATATATGTGCTTTCATTAATTCATTCTCAAAGTGTTTTGTCATCATCAAAAAGGGGGAGATTGTTGTACCTATGATTTTGATGACTACAAAACACATTTGAGTGACTAATTGGTTTATTTAAGTATGTAGTTAAGTTGCTAAAAGATTGTAAGTAAACCCGGATTGCACTAAAAATAGACCAAAAGGATTCAAAATGTGCAGAGAGTCGGCTTTTAAAAGCTGCAGCTGACTCTGGTGAAATGGAAGTGCAGAGAGCTGGCTCTGGAAACTGCAGCCGACTCTATGGGCAAAAACTTGAAGACCGTTGCTTGGCGCGTGCAGGGAAAAGAAGCAAAGCTGACTCCAACTTTATAGCCGACTGTGAGGGTGCATTTAATGCACAACGGTTGACTCTTTTGAAGAATATTTAATGTATTTAAAGTCGGAGTTCCAAAGCCGGCTCAATGTCTTGTAGTCGGCTCTCGAGGAAAACAAAATGTGCAGGAATCCCGTAGAGCCGACTGTAGAAATGGTGAGTCGGTTGTATAGAGCCGGCTCTCCTGACAGTTTTGCAACTCGAGCCATGCGTCCTGCAGGGCATTTAATGACCCCCAACGGCTAGAAACGGCTATATTTGAGCAAGGGGCTATAAATATGGTTGGTAACAGATCTAAAGAAGTTTAGAGAGTATTGTATTAAATATCTTTACCTACCTACATGAGCTTTAACTTGAGTTTTTGATCTTTGAAAGATCTTTACATGTAATCCTCTTCTTGTTCTATTTTTGAGTGATCTTGGGGGTGTGATTATTCCTTCAAGAGTGATCTATTGAGAGGATTCGTGGGGTTTACATTGTAAAGGGGTGAGGTTTGAGAGAAATGCTTATCTTCTTATAAAAGGATTGAGTGGCTCTTTTAAGCCACCCTTGTTGTTGTTAGTGGAGAGTGTGGAAGAAATCCTTGGTGAGTGAAGCCAAGGTAGAGGACTAGGCTCCAAGTGGTTGGACCGAACCTCTATAAATCATTGAGCAAGCTCTTCTTCTCTACTCTCTTTAATTTTGATTTTGTGGTTGCAAAAAGGGGAGATTTTTTGGAACTCCAATTCACCCGCCCTCTTAGAGTACATTGAGTCAACACCTCTCTCAAACCCAGATCTAGGTTTCATCACATAAATTAACCAAGTCAATAGCATTGTTTCATTAATCTACTTTACCATAAAATTAAGAATGATAATCTTCTCTAAGAAACCCTAATTTCATGCTTTATTTGGTTCAAAACCTTCTCTAAAGATGCAAAATCATACTTGATTACATGATTATGTTTAAGATAACTAAACATGGAATTTACATATAAGAACCTAATTTCGAAACCAACCTGAAGATTTAGTTGGAGATTGGAAGTTAGGGATCTTTTTCCTCTTCACAGGGATAGATTGATAGCAAACTAAGGTGCTATGCTTGAAACCCAGACCCAAATCTGGGTTTGAGAAAATCATCTAATTCCACGAAACTAGACAAAGCCTTCACATCAAGTTCTTTCAGTTCCTTCTTATAGTGTTGAATCCCTTGGAGAAAGGCTTCTTGATTATCATTCCCCAATTTGCTTAGCGATCTTCCAATCTCCATTTCCAACACCAAAGGATCAAGATTTTGAAGGTCGGATGGATAGAACTACTTCTCAAATTCTTGAAGCCTCATGTTCAAATCTTCGAATTTCGTCCTCAACGACACAGTTTCAACATTCAGATCTGCTTCATCGATGTTGTTGTTAAACAATGCTTGCAAGAATTTCTCAATCTTTTGTCCTGTCTCTAATATCCGTTCTTTGAGGTCAAGAAACATGGCATAAAGATAAGAAGAATCATCATAGTTACTGCCAAAAGCCGTTGCGAAAAACCCAAATTTGGTGAGGCAAAAAAAGGAGAAAAGAGGGAGAGAGAGAGAGAATAAGAAAAGTTTAAGGGTTTGTAGAGGTGGGGGAAAGTGAAAGGTGAAGGTAAAAGTGCACAGCTGTAGGTTGCTGCTGAGTAAGAGGACACAGACGACTGTTGGTTGTCTAGTTGTTGCTCCTTCTCCATCGGCGCAAGAGATTGCGTCGCACCACCAAGGTTTTGGTTGTGATTGTTCTTTGACACCATTGTTGAACCCACATCCATTGCCTTCCCGTAACAATGAGCCCTAGTTTTAAGATCAGAGCTAGAATCAAAGTGAATTTGCATCTTTAATCACCATTTTGAAGCCGCTAAAAGCCGAAGAAGAGAGCAGTTTTTCTAAAACCCAGATCTGGGTTTGAGAAAGGAAGAAGAAAGGAGAAGAGAGAGAGAGAGAAAGAGAAAGAATAAGAAGAAGAAAGAAGAAGGATGAGTAGGGAGGAGAAAAGGAGGAAGAAGATGAAGCTTGAGAGAAAACCTAGATCTGGGTTTGCAGAGGTAAGGGAAAAGGAAAGGTAAAAGAGAGAGAAAGTGAAAGAGGAAGAAGAGATGACATGGATGAAAAAAAATGATATTATTATTTTTAAATTAAATAAAAATATCAACTCATAAAAAAATTGACCAACTATGTTTTTTTTCTTCCATGTCATCAATTAAGAAAAAAAAAACTGATTTGTTGGCTAGTTAACATGTCACCTATCCATTTAACTAATGAAAGGACCATTTTGGTACTGAAAATGAGAGTTTAAGGATGAATTTGGTACTTTTTAAAGTTGAGGGACAATTTTGGTGCCAAAGTGGAAAGTTGAGGGACCAAAATGGTACTTTAACCATCGTTTATCCTTGTAATCACTTGAAATGGTCCATTGCCTCTTGGTTGCAACTTAGAATGCC